GGTCCGTTTCGTCATCCGAGGTCGTCCGGACGAGTTTGCCGACGGGCGAGTCGATTCAAGTCAAAGTCGTGTGTGGTGCAGCGAGTGTATGAATTGCGGCGTTCGTGTGTAATCGAGTCACAAAGGGTTCACCTATGGTCATCTGATCCTATGGGAACTCATTTTCGGGCCCTCTACATGTTGGTCTTTAGCCCTTGCAACTAGAAGTTGAGTGCTTGGAACCACTCATGCGAGTTCTTCACAAAAATGAGTCAAGAAGTGGCTTTGAGTTTTTGGTAGGCTCCATTGCTAGTCCGCTAGGATGGTCAACAAGATTATGGGTAGGAGACTAAGACCTCACTAAAAATGAGGTCAACATCTGCCTTCTTCTAGTGACAGATTATTTAGGTCTTTATATTTATTTTGAGTCCTCATTTTTTATTATATCTTCTCTCAGGAAATATGAGTTCAAATACTTCTTCCTTTATAGTTGTGCACTGCAACTGCGCTTTATAATCCCGCGTCTTTACATCACAATGAGAATCTTGCTATGAAAGAATATTTTATAGCAATCCTCTTCATAAAGTGATCGTCTGGAGAAAAGCTTTGGAAAGAAAGTTTTCCAATAGACTTAATTGTTTTGACATTAAAAATAATATTTTGATAGCATAACTTATTGCTAATAATTTTAATTTTTGTGTTAATTGATGCCAAGTGATTTATAACTTTTTATGTAATATTTTAAACTTTTAACTTATGAGAATTTATAATATTCATATATGTTGTTTTGTTTTAGTTAATTATGAAAAGGTGAAGTTACAACAATCACATGTATATAAGAGCATTATGGTCTTAATGTCAGAAACAGGTGTATTTATATATGTTGTTTTGTTTTAGTTAATTCTGAAACGGTGAAGTTATAACTACCTCATGTATATAAGAGCATTATGGTCTTTATTTCAGAAACATGTGCAGTATGGTTAAAATCATCCAAACAGCATTCTGTTTCACCAATAATAGCTTTCTTGCAGCAGCTTTATAGCTGCTTCTCCAAATAGCTACAAATGCTCCAAACAGACCCTAAGAGCCCTTGGTTTTATCTACCGCTTGCTGTTGGTTGCCTTGAAGTTATCTGTATTAGATTACCTTGGTATACCATCACCTGGTTGTTGGTTCACTACACTTAGATTTGACAATATTACAACATTTTGCTATTATCATGAAATTTTTTTCCTAATGTAAATTTGCAATTAAAATAATAGGAAGATTTACATACATACCACACAATTCATATGCAGTCGCATATCTAAACCTAAACTTTTTTTTACATGCATGCCATTTTACCTATGAATGAAAAAGGTGTATTTCACTTTTTAAAAGTTAAAACGGTGATATTTTTTATGTGATATTAAAGATTTGGTTGGTATAAAAGTAAAAAGTAAAGTTCAGGTATTATGTATGCAAATGCGTAGGGATTGGGTGGTATGTATGTAAATGTCCGAAAATAATAAGAGCGGAGCAAAGATCTTAGTTTTGATTGTTGGATCTTCATTTAGGCATCTGAGGTGTAAAGATTCTGTAAGTTGTTCGTAATCATGTTAATCTTTCTGTATTGTACCATAAACAAATCCTTTGTGTTTTAGGATTTTGTGTAAATTAGGTGTGTTCTTAATGACTTAGCCCATTACAAATTTTTCCTAGGGTTCTCTAGTCAGAGCAGAGTGAACCTACCTGAACCTACCAGACAAACTAAAGGTACCCTTTATAGAACTGTACTAGAGTATTGTATTGATTGTACAGTGCTGTATGAGAAGCTACTATAAGAATATTACTGGACAAAAATAGCCGTATTAGGTTTGAAGATAATCATGAAATTATTCTATTTCGGTCCTTTAATAGAGCAGCTGCAGAGAAACAACCTTGCTAGCCAGCATTTTCTGCTAGATTTCAGTTATATAGTTGATGAAGTTTGTTTCTGCTGTAGCTTATAATTGTCAAAATTTTTTTTTTCAGGTTTCTCATGCTGCAATTCAGTTTTGTGCTTACGAAGAACTTCGTAAGGTTGCCATCAATTTAAAATGTACAAGAGAAAAGACTGACATGAGAGATGGTGATAGTTTGCTGGTAACGTGCAACAGTTTTTGCTTTCTAATAATACTTATCTTCTGTTTGATTTTAGCATTACCATTCTTAAGGCTATTGGGTATAAGAAACCTGGAAAATAACCGACCGTAAATATTTAAATTCATTTTTTTTCAGTAACCTAATAAAAGAATGTTTTACTGGATTCTATGAAATTTCCATTAAGCATTTATTGATTGGGGCATTTACATACATACCACATAATTTTTATGTATTTACATATCTTCCACTTAAATATTCATATTCTCGTGCGTACCGCTCATATCTTTAGCATCACATAAAAAAAATAGCACCTTCATTATCTTTTTTAAAGTGAAATACACATTTTCATGCATAGGTTTATGACACAAGCTGTTATAAGTGCAGATATCAAACTTTGGGTGTTAGATACTGTTCGGTATGGCTCATAATACCAAATTTGGAGTCTCTTGGAATTGAAGAGGTGTGTTTCTTAGATTTTAGTGGTTTGAAGGAAGAAGAAGAAGTTGCGGTTTTTGTTCTTCCGTGATCGACGGAACCACAAAGCGGGCTGCGGGCTTCGGACGGTTGAGCAGGCGAATTCGACACAGTTTTCGCAGAGGAGTTCAGGACCAGACGCAAAGGGTTTTCGCGCGCTGATTTGAGAAGGATCGAGACTCGCGCAGAAGGAATTCGACGAGCGAGAGGTTTTATGAAGCAGCTCAACCGAGGAGTTCGCGCGAAGGGCTTCGGTTTCAGTGTTCTTACGCGATGCAGGGGCAAAGGAGCAATTCGCGACCTGTTGGAGATCGCGAAGGAAGGTTCGCAGGAGGCGCGGAAAGGATTGCAGACGATTTTGCGCAGAGGGAATTCCTTTGCGGAGCTTCGGTGTGCGAAAGGAAGGTTCCGTGTAAGAGGGAATTCCTTTGCGCGCGCAGGTTCGATTTGTTTCCATGCTAGGCGAAAGCGGCGGAGGGTGCAGAATTGGAAGGGCAGACGCGAAAAGGAAATTCACGCGGAAAAAGAAAGTCCGTGGAAAAGGAAATTCAGTGTCAAGATGCTCCGGAGATATTCCAGGACACGGAAAAAGGGAGAATCTGTTACTGCACTGGGAAAAGGAAAGCTGGAGACTGCCCGATTGGAAGAAAATCGATATTCTCTCTTTTGTGATATTCCAGGATGCGGAATTGCAGGAGCTTTTTTTGAAGGAAAGCGGAGACGAAGCTTTTCTGAGAAGGAAAACACAGCTTTTCTGGAATGAAAAATGAGCTTTTCTGGAAGGAAATGAGAGCTCTTCTTGGAAGTTAAGAAAAAGGATTTCTGGGAAAGTTTAATTAAGGGAAATCTTTTTTCTTGGAAACTTAATTAAGGGAATTTTTTTTTCTTGGAAACTTAATTAAGAGATTTTTTTTTCTTGGAAATTTAATTAAGGAAAATTTCTTTTTCTTGGAAACTTAATTAAGGTAAACTTAATTAAGGAATCTTAGTTAATAGATTATTTGAAAAGATTTGTGGCCTAACCCACATTGGTACATAAGCAACTTCATGATATATTTCTCCGAAGGGGCTGAATATTCTCTAAGGTGGAGATTTGTTAGACATATGTATTTCTCGTAAGGGGTTAGATATTTGCAAAAGTGGAGATTTGTTTCTCCTAACGGGCTGAATACTCGCCAAGGTGGAGATTTGTTGGGCATATGTATTTCTCCTAAAGGGCTGAATATTCGCCAAGGTGGAGATTTGTTTGGTATGACTCATAATACCAAAATTTGGAGTCTCTTGGAATTGAAGAGGTGTGTCTTTTAGAATTTAGTGGGTTGGGGATCGACGAGGGTGCAGCGGAAGCGTGGTGGCCCATCCCACATCAGTGCATAAGAAACTCTATGATATATTTCTTCTAAGGGGCTGAATATTCGTCAAGGTGAAAATTTGTTAGGTATGACTCATATACCATAAATGGGACAGATGCTGAAGCGGAGCGGAGCCCACGAGCAGAATAGAGCAGAAGGATATGTCGAATTGGGGGAGTTTCATTATGTGGGTTGGGGGTGCGGGTGCAACACCCCGCGGTTTGGTACATGAATAATTTAAGTAATTACATATTGTACTATAGGGTTATATATATGTCATGTCTGTAACCCTAGGTGAGCTGAATTCTGTATTCTGTACTATTTTTTGAATATTGAAAAGGAAGCCGCCGCTCTGCTCCCGAGGATGTAAGCAGCTTATCCAAACCTCGTTAAATCACTGTGTTCTTCTGGATTTGTGCCGTTCTTATGATTCATATTTTTCTTCGCCCTGATTTCTCAACAAATACGTACATATGTAAGTAATGTGCGATATGTACGTAAATTTCCTGTATTGTTTTAATAGGGGTTTGCTGCTGCGTTTCTGGAAAAAAAAGGTAGAAAGAGGAAGATATTTTGTTCATTTCGCTCTTTGTTAGAACTCATGTCTATATGTTGGATATAAATAAATAGTGTTTACATTAGCTACCATTTTTTTATTGGGCATTTATATACATAGCGCACAATTTTTATGTATTTACATGTTTCACACCTAAACTTTCACACACATAACACTCATGTTATTATTACATCAAAATAGGACTATTATTATTTTTAAAAGTGAAGCATAATTTTTCATGCATAAGTTTAAGCCACCCAAGTGCTATGTATGTAAATATGAAAACTTAGGTTTGAGATATGTAAATATATATGAATTGTTTGCTACTTATGTAAATTTCTCAATTTTTTATTCTATTAACATGTCTTTTCTTTTGCAGAACTCTTTTGATTATGCTATGCTTGGCGGCGCTTCTAAAGTTGCTGCTATTATGTTCACTTACCCATCACAGGCGAGTTATCTTGTTCTCTTTTTCGATTAAAATCATAAAATGGCAGAAAGTTTTCTAGTGATTTCAAGCATCTATTGAGCTTCTGTGATGTTTTCTGTTATGAAAAATGTGTGGAAATTCATTTTATCGTCATTGATTCTTAATTATTATCCTTTCAGGTTATTCGAGCTCGCATACAAGTAAGAGTTATTCCAGCTTTCTTATTTTGGTTTGTTGTGCTTTTGGACTTAACAATTAGTTTTAAAGGAATTTTACATACGTAGCACACAATTATTATGGATTTACATATTTCACACCTAAATTATGAAATTTACATACGCACTTTGGTGCTTTCAACCTATGCATGAAAATGTGTATTTCACTTTTTAAAAAATGATAATAATGTTATTTTTTATGTGATATTAAAGATTTAAATGGTGTACGTGTAAATATGAGAGTTCAAGTGTAAGATATGTAAATTTATAAGAATTATGTGCTATGTATGTAAATGCCCCTAGTTTTAAGTAATCGGTATTTACATACATACTGCCAAGTTCCTAGGAACTACCATATCTAATGTCTTAATTTAACTTTTCAGATTATCACATCAAAAACACAACTTTTAACTTTTGCAAACTGAAATACTTCTTTTATGCATACTTAAGGTGACATATTGTCAAATTTGTGACTTGAGCAACATAATTTATTGATAGAATAAGAGATATTTAAATCCAATTATATTAGGTTCAACAAAAAAAAGAAGTAAAACACAATAAAATAACTAGGAAAGGAATTCAATATAATAAAGTAAAAGAAGACGAAAATTAATGTGCTAATAGGCAAGAAAAAATAAGTAATAACGGCTAGAGATTTAATTGTTGTTATAAATCTAATACTTCCCCTCAAGTTGAAGTATAGATGCTAATCATGCTCAACTTGAATTTAAAGTCATCGAACAAAGGTCGATGAAGTTTGTTTTTGACGATACCCATTAGTTAACCACTTAAGTGTACAAAAGACACAAATTTCCCCGAACTCAATGTTTTCTTAATGAAGTGTCTGTCAATCTCCACATGTTTGGTACGATCTTGCTGGACTGCATTGTGAACAATGCTGATGACAGACTTATTATCATAGAATAGCCGCAGCGGGACGGAGGTTGACATACAAAGTTCACGGAGCATGTTGTGTAAGCTGAGGGCTTCACAGATCCCCAAGGCTATGGGTCGAAATTCAACTTCAGCACTGCTCCAAGCAATCATAGATTGTTTTTTGCTTTTTCATGTGACCAAATTTTCCCATACAAATAAGCAATATCCTGGGATGGATTGTCAATTATGAACTGATCCGACCCAATCAATATCTCTATAAAAAACAATAGACCGAGTGGTGTGACGAGAGAAACAAACCTGAGCCCTGTGTACCTTTTAAATCGTGGAGAATTCGGTGGACGGCTTGGAGATGGTGCTCATAGCGGTCATGAATTAATTGACTCACTATACCAACTGCATGACATATGTTGGGGCGAGTACGGGCACGGTAGATGAGTTTCCTCACAAGGCGCTAATAGTTTGTCTTGTTGACAGACACAAAATTGAGAAAGTCAGATAAATTTTCATTGAGATCAATTGGAACAACTACTGGTTTGCACAGAAGAAGGTTCTCTTTCAAGAAGTCAATCACATACTTGCACTGTGATAGGCAAATGCTCTGAGATGATCAAGCCACTTCCATGCCTAAGAAGTACCGGAGAGATCCCAAATTCTTCATTTCAAAGGACTTAGCTAGAATGTCTTTGAAGGACTCTAATGCGGGAAGATTATTACCTTTAGGAACAATATCGTCAACATAAACAATAAGGGTAGTTACTTTGCCCTTGGAGGAATGTCGGAAGAATAGAGTGTGATCCGATTGAGCTTGAGTAAAACTATGACCCACGACCACATTTGTGAACCTACTGAACCAGGCCCTGGGGGACTGCTTTAGCCCTTTGAGAGACTTTCGTAGCCTGCAAATTTGTTCTTTGGAGACATTAGAGCCAAAGCCATGAGGGAGAGACATGTATACTTCTTCTGTAAGCTCTCTATTTAAGAACGCATTCTTGACATCCAGCTGAAATAAAGTTCAATCTAGATTCACTGGAAGGGACAACAGGAGCCGAATAGTATTTAACTTAGTCGCTGGAGCAAATTTCTCATCCTAGTCAACTCCATAAGTTTGTGAGTACTTTTTGACAACCAATCGTGTCTTGTTGCTTTCAATGATCCATTAGAGTTGAACTTAATGCTAAAAATCTATTAGCAAGCTTTTTTACCCTGAGGAAGATGAACAATGCCTCATGTATGGTTCCGTTGAAGGACATTCATCTCCTCAATTACTGTTGTTTTTCAGGCTGGATCAACAAGAGCAACTTCAATAGTAACTGAGATTTGATGGTCCGTCGGGGTAGTGACAAATGCTTTGTAGGTCGGTGATAAACTGCGGAAAGAGAAATATTTTGCCATAGAATAAAGAGAGCATGTCTGGTTGCATACCTTTCTCAGTGAACTCACTTGCTCATTTAGGGGAGGCGTCGCGCTGTGGATGTCGCCCGGAGTGAAGTCAAGGTTCTGTAAGGAGGTAGTGGGCTCTAGAGTAGGAGCATTATAACGAGTGAGCAAAGTGTTGACACAAATAGTTGGAGGAGGAGATAGTGCACTCATGGGATCCGGTAACTCACTGGATGGTGCACTCATCGTGACAGGGGACTTTTCAGTAGCGGGAACAATGGGGGATTATCTATAGGAGTAGAATAAGAGATAGCGTCTGAGATCCCAAGCTCCTCCTTACCTGGGGCTGAGCTAGGAAAATAGGAAACACTTCAAAGAAGGATACATTAGCACTCACACAGGCACTGATAGCTCTTTTGAGTGGTGGAGTACCCAAGAAAGAGATATTTTATGGATCTGGGATCAAGTTTACTTCGATTGGGGGCAATGTTCCTAACAAAGGCAGTGCACCCAAAAATCTTGGGGTATAATGTGGAGAAGATCCTATTGGTAGGGAAACATGGCATTAGAACAATTAAGGGGGTTCAAAACTTACGAATTTTAGATTGGTCTCTATTTATGAATGAGATAGGTGGTAGTGAGAATGACATTGTTCAAAAAATGTTTCAGAATATTGGATTGAAACATAATGGAGCTGACAACTTCAAACAGGCGGCGGTTTTTCCTCTCGGCTACCCCATTTGGTCGAGGAGTGTTCGTACAAGAGCTATGGTGGAGGATGCCTTTACTAAGAATTCACCCAAAATATAGTTGAAAAATTCACAACCATTGTCGGTTCGAAGAACCTGAAAATTTTGAATTGAGTTAAAATGAAGGTATAAAAGTTTTGGAAGGTGACAACAACTTCCGATTCATCTTTTAAAATGTAGACGCACGTCATTCGAGTGTGGTCATCAATCAATATTAGGAACCATCTTTTATTGGTGTAGTTGGGAGTGCGAGAAGGTTCCCATAGGTTACTGTGAATGAGGGAGAAAAGAGTTTAAGGAGTGTATGTGTGGGACGTGTGGGATGGGTAATGGACCCGGTGATGTTTGGCTAACTGACATATCATCTCACAATAGAAATTAGAAGGGTTTTTATTAAAAAACGTACAATATTTTTAACTAGGATGACTTAAACGACAATGCAATAACATAATGAGACATTCAATGACTCGTGATAAGTTAGAAATCTTAAGAGGTGTCTATATTTTTCGTGCTATTCTTTTGGAAGTAGTTGAGTCCAACAACCCTCTTAACCGTTCCAATCATCCTCTTTGAATGACGATCCTGAAAAACACAACCATCAAAAGAGAAATCAACAATGCAATCATTATCATTTGTTAACTTGCTGACAGATAACAAGTTACATTGCAACTGAGAAACATTTAAAACATACTCCAGTAGATTAGTTGTTAATACAAACGACCTTTTACTAGCAATGAAACTACAGGTGCCATTGGCAATTCAGACGGTTTCTTTTCCCGAGCACAAATAGTAGGTCGAGAAAACTTGTGAGCGTTCAGTCATGTGATCCGTGACATTTGAATCAATAATCTATGGACTAGAAGAGGAATAAATTGTGAAAGTCATAGGAAGAGTACTTTTTTCAGACGTGGGAGCTCAACAGACATGTAGTGACTTGATGGGCTCTAAGAAGCTTGATTAATTACTCCATATGGTTTTTCAGGGATTCAAAGGATTCTGCTCTGGGTAGGATTTGGTTGAGTCATGGAGGCTCGATAATCGTCGTCAGGCCCTTGCTAGTAGAGGATTTGGCCGAAGGTTTGTAAGTAGGCTTACCGTGGAGATTCCATTACATGTCCCGAGTGTGGTTGAGTTTGTGACAGTAAACACAATTAGAGTGACTGGTTAGAGGAAGCATGGGCGAGGGCTGAGCACGATTCGAGATGACTTCAAATGAACCAAAAGAAGTGCGGTTGTGATTCCGAGACATTGATGGATTTGGTTGACAGATAGTTGCAGGAAGGCTGTGCAGGAAGGCTGCAGGAAAGCCTGCTGGGCTGCTACAGGCGGAAGACAGTTGGCTGGGAAAGATGCAAGAAAGCTCGCTAGACTGTTGCAGAAAGCTGCACCACCAGACAAGTGCAACAAAGGAGCAAGAAGGTTGCAGAAAACAGTAAAAAGCAGTTCTTATTACAGGAAAGGCGCAAGAAGGTGCAGGAAAGGAGCTTTCACGGGAGACAAAATTCACGACATGTTTTCGAGAATTTTTAGTCGTTCAACTCGGAGATAAAGCTGCTTCTTTTCCTCGCAAATAAGGATCCCTCTACAAACCTTAGTTGGTGCCCTGACTGCAATGTTGTAAAACCTTGTCCGTCAATTTTTTTTATATTGAAAATAATTTTTTTAAAATTTAATATATTATAAGAGGTATATAGTTTGAGTTTTGAAAGTAGTATGTTTTAATTTTCAAAAAATGAGATCAAATAGATCTCATTAGTTTAATAGTTTGCCTAATCGTGTCTGATACCACGAATACCACACCTTCCCGAAAGATAAGTGTATATCTCGGCGGTGGAACCAATCTTACAAATTAAGAGATTTGTGACATTTGTTTGGCCTGCGAACTTTTTATGTGTGATCGATAAGTTCCCCTACCTAATATAATGATTAGATAGAATTTATTTTACCTGGGTTTCAAGTTTCTTATAAAGGCAAACTCTAATAGTTAATTACATCTCAAATGACTGGGGTCACTTGAGAAAACTCTCGATAATGATCAAAGGTACTATTCTTCAAGAATTCAAGGTTTAGGTTTTCACGGTAGGACGTGGAAAAGAAAGTGAGAGTGACTCAAGTAGGAACAATCATTTTCAGGAGTCCAAAGAAATGACAGGTAGGGGACGTCATAGACCCTATGGAGAACTCTCAGTGACTTTCCAAACTATCATTCTGTGTGGCTGCATTTTGAAGATGATGTTATTTAATGTTTAATTCTGTCAATTTTATTATTTAGGACTTACACTCGCATAAAACATGATTATGCAAAAAATCTGCAGTGATATGGGGGTTTACGTCGTATCGGACGACAACCTCGGAACCTAAAACGAGTTAGGACTTAGCTACACAACATAGTTGCACAGGAGCCTAAAGAGAGTGTGAGGATTTACGTCTCGCTGAGCGAGCTACCTCAAAGTTCTATGGGTTGCTATTTAGACTAGGAAGGTTTAGCTGGTTTAGCCTTGTTTTGCTATCTCGAAGATGTCCTTCTGCAGGTTCTCTTCACGCTGCCCCACGACGTATGCTCCAAGCTCCTCGTTGAAGTAGCAACCATAAAGTCTAAGGTTCAAAAAGTTTTACTAATTATGTTTCAAAGTTTTGATTTTATTGTCATTCAAGCATTGTGAAGGGGATTAAAGTTTATTAGAGCGACACCGGTTAGGATCCCACGGTTCTGTCGTTCTGGTACCACTATTTTCTTTTGAGTTCACTTAGTCTAAACGAGTTGTTAAGCTCATTTAAACTGAGATTTCTTTAACAACCGTGGATTACCTCATCTGAGGGACTCCCGTAAATTCAAAAGTACATGTAATATTTTTGTTTTATTTTAAAAATGTTGTTTAATTTTATTGTTTTGTTTTGAAAATGTAATTGCAACCAGACATGCATGATATATATTAAAGAAGTAAATTACACTGATAAAAATGACAATAAATAAACTGTACATGGTATCTTTCATCTTCTCGCTATTCCCGCTGCGCGGGTAGCTCATAAGACATAATATAGTTTTTAGAAAATTTAAATAAATTGTAGAAAAAGAAAGAAAACAGGAATTCTAGCGTAAAAAATAGCAAAATGAGTCGTAATAGCAGCTAGGAACTCCAAACAACGATCCTAAAGCTTCCTCAAACTCCAGACAACAGTTAAGAACTCCAAACAGTGATCCTAAGGCTTCCTACAACTCCGGACAACAGTTAGGAACTCCGAACAGGGATCCTAAGGCGATCCTAAGGCTTCTTACAACTCTGGACAGCAACTAGAAACCCCGAACAACGATACTAAGGCTTCCTACAACTCCGGACAATAGATAGGAACTCCGAACAACAATCCTAAGGCTTCCTACAACTCCGGAAACCAGCTAGGAACTCCAAACGACGATCCTAAGGCTTCCTACAACTCCGGACAGCAGCTAGGAACTCCAAACAAGATCCTAAGGCTTCCTAATGATTCTAAGGCTTCCTATAACTTCGGAAAGCAGCTAGGAACTCCAAACAGCGTTTAAAAAGACCCGAACAGCATCTCATCAAACCCAAAAAAAACATTTTTAAGTCCGTTCATTTCAGCAAGCGTGCAACTCAAAATAATAATTTTAAAACCTCAACTTCAACAAGATATGCAAGCTTGCAATGATAATTTTAAAACTTCCAATTAGTAAATTATGCAAGCTCAAAATGCCAGTTTTAAAGCTTTAACCTCGGTAAGATATGTAAGCTCAAAATAAGAGTTTTAAAACTTCAACCTTGGTAAGATGTGTAACCTCAAAATGACAGTTTTAAAACTTCAACTTTGGTAAGATGTGCAAGCTCAAAATGATAATTTTAAAGCTTTAACCTAGTTAAGATATGTAAGCTCAAAATAACAGTTTTAAAACTTCAACCTTAGCAACATATGCAAGCTCACAATGATAATTTTAAAGCTTCCGATTCAGTAAAATATGCAAGCTCAAAACGACAGTTTTACAACTTCTTTAAGGTTTCATCTGATAAGAATTTGTTCTGTTAAAAAAAATGGTATTTCATGATTTTGATATCCTTACCAGGCATGCAATGAAAGCCTATCCTTTTTCTTTATAGCCTCAAACATAGCGCAACACACTATCTATTGTGGAAATATTGGCAAACTGATTTGCTACAAACATAGCATAACACTACCAAAATAAAGCCTAAATTTGTTGCTGCTTGCTAAAGTTTGATCATTGATATACCATTAGAAGGATTAAAAATAGAACTGTTACAAATCCCTATCTTGAACACAAGTTTTAATGCCAAAGAACTATAACAATAACGATCATTCCCTCAAATAAATGCTAGAAAAGTTTATATTTAAAATTGCTAAGAATGGCAGTAAAGATTACCGAATACACCTTAGAAAGATGAGGGAACAGTGCAGCCCTGGAAGAGAGGGACAGTTGCGGTAACGAGACAATCTCAATTGTTTAAATGTTGTGAGGAGGAGGGAATTCGACTAGGAATTTGCTTGTGAAGAGGAGCGTCGACTGAAGCTTTCGGTGCAGAGGGGAGGCGAAGCCGAGAGAGAGGAGTCGAGGGCTTCTTCGATCGAGCAAAGGACCGGGGAGCAGGCTTCGACACAAGGAGGAGCCTGTCGAGCGAGGGAGGCGAGCAGGAGTTTCAATTGGGGGAGGGAGTCAAGCGAGGGTTTTTGGAGAGGGAGTCGAGCGAGGCTTTTTTGTGTGAGCGAGAGGGAGGCGGGATTGGCGAGGCAGGAGAATGCGGGAGAGGTGGGGCGAGTGGGTGCTGCGATCGGGGGAGGAAGAGGCGCGCAGGAGCTTCGATCGAGAGAGGGAGACAAGCGGCTTGGTTTGTTCGGCGTGAGGAGGTGGCAGGATTGAGAGGGTTCTCGGTTCGCAGAGAGTAGCTGGGGAGTCTTCAAGTAGGAAGTAGAGGCGAGGGAAGACTTTCGGTGCAGATGGGAGGAGACGAAGCCAAGGAGGTGTTCGTTCTGTGCTGAGGATGATCAGATGAAGAAGAAGGGGGGCTTTTGTGCCGAGGAGAAGAGGCGAGCGGGGGGAGCCGAATGCCAGGAAGGTGAAGCCTGTTGAATTGTATTGCCGTTATCTTCAAAGTGAACGTTATGCGAAATTATGTGGGCAATTAAATAAATCCATTCATGCAGTCTACTCAATTTGAAAATCTTAAGTCTCAATTAACATTGAGATTAAATGGCCCATTTGAAATTTGAAACTACTTAGCTCGTGTTCAACCCATGTCCAGTCCGAGTTGAACTGGGCTGAGCTTGAACCCGCACCCCCTTAATTGAAAAATGTGCATTGATTTTCGTGTCATTTGCGCGCGTGCAGAACCGTAGCAATATGAGTGACATTCTTAACTAAAATTGGTTTTCTGGACGCGCCGGTGCAGTTCGTTTTGTCATCCGAGGTCATCTGGACACGTTTGCCCACGGGACAAGTTTGCCGACGGTCGGGCCAAAAATTCATGAAATGTAATTTCGAATTTTAGGTTCGTAACGGATCATTTTGAAAATCGATTTCAGTTTAATTGTCGGTGCAATGTGTGGATTGTGATGTTCGTGTTGCCGAGTCATGGAGGGTTCACCTATGACCGTCTGATCATATAGCAACTCATTTTCGGGCCCTCTACATGTTATTTCTTAGCCCTTGCAACTAAGAGTTGAGTGCTTGGGACTACTCATACGAGGTCTTCACAAAAATGAGTCAAGAAGTGGTTCGAAGTTTTATGAGAGGTGAACTCCATTACTAGTCAGCTAGAATGGTCAATAGGAAACTCCTAAAGCTAGATCCTAGGTTGTAGGAGAAAAAAAACTAATAACTTTACTGAAAATGAGGTCAACAAACCTGTGATCGACGACAAGCTCGCAGCTTCAGCTAGCGATATTGCGATCCGTAAAACATTTGTAGGGGACAGATCCATGTGGAAGAATCCTAAGCATCCATGGCCACAAGTGAAAAGTTCTGATAGAGAATTGCTGAAGGTGGGTGGAACTGGCAGCGGAAAAAAATTGTTGGAAGAGCCGGTGGCTAGGGTAGAACCGGGCTCTAATACCAAGTCAAAGTTGTGACTTTGAGCAACATGATTTTATTAATAAAATAAAGGATATTTAAACCCAATTACAATAGGCCCAACAAAGAAAAGAAATAAAAAGAATAAAATAAATAAGAAATGAATAAAATAGAATAAAGTAAAAATAAAAAGAAAAAAATAAGAAATAATGTGCTAATAGGCAAGAAATAATAAGTAATAACGGCTATAAATTTAATTCCCGTTATAAATTTAATACATATATATGTAAAAGTTAAAGTTTAAGTGTAAATACATTGGAATTAAGTGGTATGTATGTAAACTTCCTTTCAAAAACTGAAGTCAGGATAATACTCTTTTCAGTGAATCAAGTTTAATATAAGAATATTGATGAACATCTGAAGTTTTTTCTTAATGGACTATCTGCTTTTTGGAACTACTTTCTAATCTTTTTTCAGTCTTGCCACTGCTGACATATAGATTTTTATTTTTTTTTAGCAAAGGCCTAGTAGTGATGGAATTCCCAAATACCTGAACAGCTGGCATGTAGCATCAGAAACTGCAAGGTAATTGATTTAATCACTGCTTTAAAGTTCTTAGTTCTAAGGGTGCATTGACATACATAGCTCACAATTCTAATGTATTTACATATCTCGCACCTAAACTTTCATATTTACACATAACACTCAAATCTTTAATATTTAATATCACATCAATTTAATATCACATCAAAAACAGCATGTATAGGTTTAAAGCACCGAAATGCTGGAAGTTTGGGTGTAAGATATGTAAATACGTAATAATCATGTGCTTGGTATGTAAATTTCACTTTTCTAAGTGCACTCACAACATCAAATTGCTGGAATGGCATATTTGTCAAGTATTACTGAGTATTACTCAGTTAACAGCTCATGAGAGACCAAGTAGATGTGTATTTTGATCTGCCATGGTTACTTTCATGTAGCATATCATTTTTTAAATTTGACGAAAAAATGGCCTCCCATCAACTCTTTTTGGGGTGCTTGAAGTTCCTTTTTATTAATGAATTCCTTTTTATCAACATTCAGTTAATTTTGATTACACTATTTCATAATACACAACCTTGTATAGAATTTTAACATAACCAAATGTACGAGGAGAAACTGTGATATTTTACTTCCTTAAGTAGTCAAAAGCACTCTGAAGGAACAAACACTAGCTTTTTTGGGTTGTTTTGTGCTATTAGATAATTAGGTGTAGCTATTTTGTGATTTCCTTTATGAAACAGTTAGTTCTTCGATATAATTTAACATAAACATATCAATAGCACTATGTGGTGTAGGTTTTAATGTCTAGTGTTTACTATTTCAATTGTAGAATGAGATTCATAAATTAAAATACACAAAATTACAGTGTTTTTCAGCTTTTAATTTAATTATAGGTCAATCTATTTTGGTATAAAATAATAAAGCACACTTCTTTCATTCTAAATGATGATGTAAATGTTGTCAAGAGTTGAAATTTTCCAAGAAATTTAAGAATCAACATAAAATTATGTAGTGATTAAGATCTCTCACACAAAAAGGAAATATGAGGTGCATAAAATTTGCTAAAATTTCAATCACGCAGACACTCTAATCTTTAAGTAATTCAGAAGAATTAACAAGGATATAAATCACTAATTGGATGATTCAAACCTCGCATCGGTTCAAGGAAAATTATATTCTTGGAAATTATTAAGACTTGCAAACACTCCAAGAATCTAACGATTCTTAGTTTGAGCGGAAATATAATTCTATCCAATTTTTTTAGTATTATTTTTATACCGCCTTAGGTGTCCTATTTATATCCAAAAGAAAAAAAAAACAAAATAAGTATTTTCCTAGAATCTTCTAAGATCTAGCCTAATATTACAAGTTTCAATTCAGCACACTTGAGTTCTAGTAAGGACAGTAAATTTTCAATACAAAACTAAGAAATAATTTGACTAAAACAACATCAGTGAACATAGTTTGTGTTTTTAATCAGTGTGGGCTTTGCATCATTTTGCCCAACTTGAACAATATTTGATTATGATGAATTAAATATTTATTGTTGTTTTTAAATATGAGCAACACTGTTATGTTTTCTGAAAGAAAATTCATGAATCAACAAAATTAAGTTTCAACTCGAGATCATAAAAATTTTGATATCTACCATCAATAACGAACACAATCCCTACATTTTTATGCTGCTGGTGCAAGATGTGTAGATCCATGAGAGATGATTTTTTTAATTCTAACAGGTTCTAGAAATAAAGTAAAATCAGAGACATTAATATTTGAAATAATATCAGTGCTTATAATTTTTATTTTATAAATTTTCATCACAATGCACTGTATTGTTTTATATGCTTCACCCATCTTACGTTTAGTTTCTTTAAAATCTCAGCACGAAGTCTTTCAGGCTGTAGATACTCTATTATCTTATCTTTTAGTGCCACGACCTGACTCTGGAGCTTAGACTTATCAAGAAGGAAACTGACGGTCTGACGAATGAATATTATCTTATTATTTCATTTCACAATAAAATGAAATCCAAAACATAAAAGAGTCATTTTATTTCATAAAACTTATATTTACAACACTTTATTCATATTTAAACTTTTACATCTAAGTGAAAATAAACCTTAACTATAATACCTATTAGCATGTGCTCTTCAGCTTTTGCACACACTTTCTAGGATCAATAGTTAGCAAATGAAGGTTTATAATACCTATTAGCATGTGCCTAAAGTTGGTTTTCCTTAACTATAATAATACCTATTAGCATTTTCATAACTATAATACCTATTAGCATGTGCCTAAAGTTGGTTTTCCTATAAAATAGTTAGCAAATGAAGGTTTGAGTTAAACTACTTAGTGAATAAATATTTCTAAATTATAATAATTCTTATTTTTAAATTTTTTTGTAAAAATACTACAAATAGTAAAAAAACTTTGAGTAGTGAAAATAAACCAGTGAAGAAAACAACTTCTTTTACTTTAATTTATTTTTATCACACTTTTTTATTATTGGAAGTAATCGTCTAAACGTTTATTTTAAATATATATATATATATATAATAAAGGTAGACAATCGTTTTTATTTTTATTTTTATGCATGAGTATATTACATTCCCCTACCATTACCATCCATGAGTGATATATGCATGCATATATCATATTTTATTTTTTTATTTGTATTTAACATTAAAAAAAAACACATGAACTTTTGCATTAAAAAATTGTGAAATTATAAACTGTGTAAATAAATTGAACTATTATAAAAAAAATATATATATTTGCCTACCTATATAGTCTATAGTTTGAAGTTTGTTATCCTTTTTCTCAGGTGCAACTAGTCATTAGGTGCACCCATAATAACAAGTTAGATTTTATTAATTCTTTTTCATTTCAAATCTTTATTTTATAATAGTATCTAACTTTACTATTGTTATACATTCTTTGTAATTTTTATATTTAATTAGCTATTTATTGAATTATATAAACTTTTATACATATATATGTATGAGAATATCTAAATTAATTTTATTTCTCTACAATTTTTTTTATTCAGTTCTATTTAATTAATCAACTTTCAAAATTTTCAATTATGTCATGTTTAAGATTTAGCTTAACACTAATTAATTATAAATTTAGGAATTAAGTATTAAAGTTCAACTTTATACCTGAGGTTTATTCCCACAACAAAGCCGCTTTTTTCCTTCTTTAGCCTTCTTGCTAATTACCTTAAATAATTATTAACAAAATTTAAAAAAATTTAATATAGGTTTTTTTTTCCTGAAATTCACTTTAAATTAATTAGGAAAAGAAAATTAGAAATCTTTTCAGATTTCTCACCTGGACTTCTTCCTGTGTTCGAAGTATCGCAGTCACTGATTTAAGGGTCTAATTTGGGTAGCTGCAACTTAACAATAAGCTGCTACGGATAAATGATTGTTTTTTCGTTTTTTGCAGTTTGAAAACAGCCGTGTTGCCGTTGTTTCTGGGCGAATGACCATTCTACCATTGTATAGTAATGTTGTTTGTAACAGAATTGTTCATACAAATACATTTTATACTTTAAAAACAAAAATATTGTGCAAAACATTACAAAATAAAAATAAACCCCTCACTTAACAGTGCGTAGCATGATTACTAAAATTAAGAAATAAACTATTAAAACAATAATTAATAATATGATAATCTTATTTTTAAAATATAGACGACGTATGTCACGAGCTAAGCCTTCCTTTAAGGATATTCTCCATGCCCGATCACTCTCGACAGTGGAATCTTCCAGTCTATCTGTCCATTAAAAATAATCACAGTTTTTTGTGATTCTCCGTGGGCACTTTTAAAACTGTCTTCCGTAGCTATGTTGCTGACATGAATTTAGCAGGGAACCTTGAAGTCAACAGTAACAGTGCAATTCTCGGGGTTACTGGAATATCTCGAGCTCATCTTTTTTAAATGTTTTAAAAAATAGAAATAATTAATTATATTTTTATGCAACTGTGAAGTATCAGAGAACTCAGTATATAAACCAACGAATATATTACTACAAGAAAACAATAGACCTTATAATAAAATGGTACTTTGTTGCCTTTAACACGTAATACAAATTTTGTGTGTGTAACATATGCATATCGCCAAAAAAAGACTATTCAGAAGAACTTCAAAAACTGCAGCACCGAAAAAAAATAGTAGAACTTGGTTGTCTTCATTAAGATTTCACATGTGATACTAACTAATAACGACGAATTGATCATCCAGAAGAACTCATAAGGTTAAACATCACATTATAGACCTTCAAAACCCAACAAAAGAAACACAAAAGAAAAAAATACACTTACAAATAATGTAAAAAACCAAAACAATCAATATCAAATACACAAAGGAACAGAAATAAACATGAAATGTATAAAATATTGATACAATAAATATTGAATCTTTTCGATAGCTATTACAATTAATAATATGACTAAAACTTGAATCACTCTCCAACTATCGCATCCATAATTTGTTCCCTAAACTATGTCATATCGCATGCACCTTCCTCGTCTTCAATATAGGTCTTGAGAACATCATTTTCTGTCTGTGACCAAAATTGTCCAAGATGGTACTCATATTCCTCGGAAGAGACTTGTTCATGATTCTTTTCCACCATATGGATCTATGTTTTTGCAGGAAGGATGCTGTCAAATATTATTGTGGAGAGCTATCGTGGTAATCACAATCTGCACTTATTTGGGAAACGAGTAAGATGACATATTGCGAAGTATAACATATTTCTTCTTCCAAACACCAAAAGTCTTCTCAATTGCACCGCGTAAAGATAATTGTTTTTGTTAAATATTTATTTCTTACCCCGCGCAGCATTGCCAACTCTCTCAAAATCAGATATGTCATATCTCGTATCAGGATAGGGCTTGAAATACTCTTGCTACATTGAATACCCAAGATCGACCAAATAGTATTTACTTGATGTAAATTGAATGATTAGTTTTGAAGGGAAAAATAATTAGGAGAGTAGCTCAGGCTCAAGCGCATCTGTGGGTGGATGT